TTTGCAAATTTCAGTGTGGGCCAATTTTAAACCCGGCCCACTAACAACCCGGCTCACCCGGGTTCAACCCGTGGTGAGCCGGGTTGACCCACCAGCCCATAAAAAAAAAAAAACTTCTGCTATTGGGTTGGGCCAAATAAAACTTCATAGACCATCATAGGTTCTCAATTTTATGTATTTTTTCTTCAAATTATGTAATTAGTGTAGGAATTTATTTACTTTTCTATAGAAAAGCTTATGTGCATACTATTTTTGCAGGATTAGGCATTAAATTTGATTACATTTTTTTAAATTAGGTTATTTTTTTAAATTAGGTGAGCCAACCCGTTTAGCCCACCAACCCGTGGTGGGCCGGGCCGGGCTCAATTTTTTCCAACTCACCAATAAACGAGCCGGGTTGGGTTGGCCCACCAAAGGCTCAACCCGTGGTGGGCCGGGCCGGGCCGGGCCGGGTTACCCGTTTTGACAGCTCTAAATATAGGTAAGCTATTTTTTTTCTTTCTATTTCTGATTTTGTTAGATCATATCACACGCCGGATTTATACTTTTATCTATAGATGTCAATTAACACCTAATATTATGTTTGGTAGCATAAAAACCTAATATTATATTTGGTAGCATAAAATTAGTCGATACTTCATATGAACCTATATATAAGTAATAAAAAAAACTAATTTTACATACCTTAAGAAAGATAGTTAAATGTATTTAATTTTCACAATTTCGTATAAGTATATATTATATTTACTAAAATATCCTTAATCACATTTATTGTAGATAATATTTTCATTTATTATCTTAAGAGTATTTTTGGGTAAATAACAATAAATAAATTTGTCTTAGTTGAAATTTGTTTATATTTGAGCTAAACAAATTTAAGTATTTTTTTTCTTATATATAGATCAAGAATAGGAATGACAATGGGCAGAGCAAGTGTGAGTTTCAATATTTTTATCCATATCCTCGTTTTCATATCACGTGAATATGAAATATGTGTTTCATCTTTTTCTTTGTCGGATATCGGGTATACTTGTACCTGTGTCATATCCATTTAAAAATTAATTAAATATTTTTTTTGCAAAAGAAGTTGAAATAAATTACAATATAGAGTAACAATTAAAAATTGTATTAATTAAGTTTTATATGACATAAATTTAAAATAGAGTAAAAATTACATAAAAACTTAAAATAAATTAAGTTTTTAGATATTTAAAGTGAGGATAGGTACGAGATGAGTAAATATATTCTTATCTCCATCCCTGTACTTGATTTAATAAAACAAATATTATTTTTACTCGTATTTACGTTCAATCAAACCAAATATTTCTTGTCAAAGTTGAAGCAAATTCAAGCATTACTCACAAATATAAATTTTTTTGTCATCCCTAATAAAAAGTATTAAAAAGAAAAAGTATTGAAAAGAGAGTGAAAAAAAAAAGACAAAATTAGTATTGCTCGCTATAGCTGAAATAGAGGGGAAATGAGTTAAAATCTTTCATGAGTAAACATTACTTTCCTAAAATAACTCTTCTTTCTTATTTTGTTACTTGGCTCATTTCTTCATCACACAAAGCTACTTCTCTCCAATTTCGTCGTTGTTTTTTTTATCCATTTGAGTCAAACATAATTGATTGTGTGTATGTGATTATTGTTCTTTATCACCCTTTTTTTTATCCTATTTCTCTCTTTGCTACCAAATAGACCGAATGTGTCCATGAAATACATTTACGTATACGTTTTTCTATATTATAAAGTAGAATTTTTTTTTTTACATATTGTAAACTATTTTTATAAGTAATTCTAAAAAACTTATAAAAAGAAGTTAAAAAAAATCATCAACCTTTGATAAATTCTCTCAAACATATAGTCTCCCCAAATAAAATATGTTGATTATTCTTTTTATAAGAATCAATTTTATTTTTGTTAATATAAATCAGATGTATTTTTTATTACAAATAATATTGTTCAAATTAAGTAAGATTATATTATGACTTATGAGGAGACAAAATCTCTCCTCTAAATATTGGACATAATTACATATCTAATGCTCGTATTATTTTGTATTTGAGTAAATATACTATTTTTTTAATAATTTTTTTTGAACTTTTATCAATTTATATTTTTAATCTATGAACAAATTTTATTTGATTTTAGTTTTTGAAACCTTTTCATTAACAAAAAAAATTTGATGTTAGAAGCCAAAATATTAATGGAAGAAAAAGTTCAAGGATTAAAAATGAAAATCAACAAAAAATTTATAATCATTTAAAGACTAAAATCAAACATCTACAAAAATCCAAGCACTAAAAATATATACAATCCTTTTATTTTTTAAAAAGATATTATTAATCAATATCATTTTTCTTAATTCAACGAAATGTGTAATCAATATTAAGAATAGTTTAAGAATATATAAATCTAACATTAATTAAATTAAGTCAAGACTGATCTATTAGATAATTTGACCTTATAAAAAATAGAGAAGAAAAGGAGTTAAGTCTAAATAAAATCTTCCATAAATAGTAACAAGTCTCTCTCATCCTTAGTAACTCCTTGCAAGAATGAAGTAACATCAACATTTATTATTTATTATTTAATTTTATATTATAAAGGAAAAAAACTAGTGTTTTAACAGGGAAGAAAGAAAGTATCATTTTCCAATAAAAAATGTCAGTTAGCAGGAATCCAATATGAGGTGAGCTGCTTCTCTGTCTAGCTGACAACTATGAACTCATGCACATAAATTTAAACTCAGTTTTGAAATTAACTCCTCTGTCCTTTCTTTCTCTTTCACTCTCTGTTTCTTTCCCACAACTACACTCCACTCCACTCTCTCACTCTCACTCTCACTCTCATATCTCATATCTCATATCTCTGCAAATTTCTACTCGCCTAAAAATCCCATTTTTATCACAACCACGGAGACCCAGATGCAGTTTGAGTCCGTTCGAGCATGAAATGAGTTTGAGTTTCTTCATCTCTTGTTGGGGGGTGAATGGGGTGCATGGTGTCTCAGTTGGCCGCGAAATTCGCCTTCTTTCCGCCGTCTCCGCCGACGTATCAGCTCAAAAAGAGGGACGACGGCAAGCTCACGGTGGTCTCCACGGCGGCGCCGATTCCCCACGCCGATGACACCTCCTTGGACGTTCTCCTCGTCGACACCAAGCATGGTAACAAGATTGTAGCGTTTTATCTCAGAAACCCTTACGCACGCCTCACTCTGCTCTATTCTCATGGCAATGCCGCTGACTTGGGTCAACTCTATGATCTCTTCGTGCAACTCAAGGTCAATCTTAGAGTTAATCTCATGGGGTTAGTGGTTTTCTGTTTCTTCTACCGAAAAAAAAAAAGAGACATGGTTTTGTTAAACTTGAGCTTCTTTTTTTTTTTTTCGGAAAAAAAAAAAAGAGGCATGGTTATGTTAAACTTGAGCTTCTTTTTTTTTTTTTCGGAAAAAAAAAAAAGAGACATGGTTATGTTAAACTTGAGCTTCTGTTTTTGTTGTTTTTGTCTTTGTCTGTTCTTATTTTACTTGGTTCAACCTCACGGAGTTCAAAGTCCGCACGTTATCACTGACCCTTTTTTTGTTTTGTATTATCTTGGCGTTTTTAATTTTACTTTCTCTCTCCCTTGGTTTCTCTTTCTTCGACTAATGTAATTTTTTATATATATTTAATTAGTGGGGTTTGTGTAGCGTAGATCTGAGATTAAGTAAAACGATGCATGGTTTGGTTAGCGTTTTGGTGAGTTTTAGATCTGGTGGTGAATGAGTGATGAGTGTATCGGATATGGCGTGGCAATGTCAATGCCTTTTCCTACATCTTTTCAATCAATGTGGAAAGTGAATGGAGTTGGAGTTTTGGGCAGCCTCAGGTGCCCAAACAAACAAACAAAAATTGGAAAAAGTTAAAGTGAAAGGGAAAAAAAGAAAAGTGGCTTGTATTTATGGTTCCTTCTTGGTACTCCTTAGCAATCTTTTACTCATCTCTCTTTGTCTTCCCTTTCGTTTTCTTTCTCCTCTGTGTAAAGTATTCCAGTTTTTACCTATACATGGATGGCGACGTAGCGTACCGTTTTCTTGGTGTCTAGTGGAATGCTCTCTCCCTTTTACCCTTACTAATTTCAACATTTTTTCACCAACAAATTGTTAGTACCAAGAGAATTAAACTCGGTATCCTTAACAAAGGTTTCATTTGATTTTTGTAGATAAAAAAATTGTAGTTGATAAGGAGACATCCTAAAGGGGCCTGACCAGATTTTTTTGTAAGAAATTACTTATTCTCGTAACCGGTGGATACTTTGCACCAATAACATATAATAAAATAATAATAAAAATCTAACATTGTTTTCCTTTATGTTTCAAGAATTAAACTAGAAAAAGAAAAAAGAAAAGCAAGAGTGAATATATACATATATATATATATATATCTTGGCCCATAAGTGGTTGTCATCAATTTAGTTTACCAATTGACTTCACGGCTCTATAAATTCGGCCCAATTTACCTGTTACGGGGACTTGATTGAATCACATTTGGAGATTATTGTGCGTAATTGGTGTGAATAGTTTTTGACAGACGAAAAATGATGTTACTTCAATATTATAGGGGGCCAACATTTTTTAGACTAAAGTGGAAAATTGATATTTTTCTGCAATATTTTATTTGCAGATATGACTACTCTGGATACGGGGCATCTACTGGCAAGGTAGGCCATTCTTTGGTAAATACAACATTACGTGTTCTGCTATATTGAATGGACCACACAAGCACACATAAGCACGATTTTGTTTTGTTGAAAGGCTAGTACCTGTTAGCAGGGTATTTTCTATTGTTTGATCTACAATGCACCAAAAAACTTGCAATTTCATTTTTCGTTGTAGGTTACGTTTAGTTGTTTGGTTTCTTAATTTTGTCTTGTATTTGAAGTATATGACAACGAGATGCATAATAGTGGTATCTGGATAAATCCATACACACTATACCTGTTGGGGTATCTATATTCATCTCATTAGTATTTTCCTCTTCCTCCTTAGGCATACGATTCCTCAAGTACAAACGGGTTAAGATGGGCTATACAAACATGTGCCCAGACTAAAAGCCTACACTTACCACTGTCTCCAAATACTTGAGAGTTTGTTTGACTAGAAGCTTAAAAAAGCTTCTGAGAGTTTATTTACCAGAAAAACAAAATTATTTATTTTCAATAGAGAATTTTTAAAACCCTTTTAAATTTGTATATAAATAGATACTTAGTAGTCAAACCATTAGTTCTTATATCACTTGTTAGGTAGGACTCGGAGGACCCCAAAAGCAGGGGTAAACCTGTATCATTGGGTTAAAGCAACATATCACAATATGAACATGACATTAATCTCTTATATTATCTTTATCAAGTCCATTCTCAACAAATCTCAAACTTCAAACTCACTTGAATTTGATGTCATTATTGTTGTTAAGATGCACTAAGGGAGTATTCCACACAAATGTCCACATTGGTATGATATTGTTCACTTTGGGCGTAAGCCTTTATGGTTTTACTTTTGTTAATGTCTCAAAAGTTCTTATACCAGTGGGGCATATGTGTACTTTATAAACCCATGTTTTCCCTTTTGTCTTGACGATATGAGACTTTGTTTGTATTTTCCAACAATTGCATTTTCTTAGCTTATGTTAACATGGAAAAAGCATTGGCATATGCTTATGTTGACGTTTTTTGTTCCAATTTGTGTGATGACATGTGTCTAGTTAGAAATAAATGGTGGAATTTTTATGAATGCCATGTTATTGATATATGCAGCCTAGTGAATCCAGCACATATGCTGACATAGAGGCAATCTATGAATGTCTTGAAACTGAATATGGAGTTAGCCAAGAAGACGTAATCTTGTATGGGCAATCAGTTGGAAGTGGACCAACGTTGCACTTGGCAGCTAAATTGCCAAGGTTAAGAGGTGTGGTTCTGCACAGTGGCATTCTTTCTGGTCTTCGAGTGCTCTGCCATGTGAACTTCACGTTTTGCTTCGACATTTATAAGGTAATTTATACAAGGCTATTGATTAAAAAGAAACTTGTAGCTTATGCTTGAATACAAGGTCATAATAGTAAATAGAGCATATCTTTTGATTCCAATGAAAAAAAAAGATTATCTGTCTTGTGTTTTTAGTGATGGGAAACAAATTGAATAACATGACGTGTTTCAGTTCAGTATGCCAAATTTCAAGTGCTTAAGTTGGAAATAATTGAAGTTTAAATAAATGTAATATTCTGTTTCCTGTATTGTCTCATTTGATCTAACTATAAAGTTTTATTCCAAAACTTGCAGAACATCAACAAAATAAAGAAGGTCAAGTGCCCTGTACTAGTAATACATGTAAGTATATGATGCACTATAATCACACTGCTCTCCCTTTTTGCATTTGTTTCTGATGACATTTAAAGCTAGTAGTAGACAATGCAGTTATTGCGCATAATGGTTTCTACTTTTGGAGCTTCTCATTGTATAAGGATAAAAGATGCTACCAATCATCCTGGACCTGGAGTTATTTCCAGATCTAGTTAGGTAGCTAATATGGCACTCTAGTATATCCTTTAGGAAAATAAAATAAAATAAAATAAAAAAGGACTGGGAATTGGGGAGGCCCTTCTGTAGTTATATTCTTTTCTAATTAAAATGCTGTATGGTTGAAGTGAACTTGTAATTTGACTATTTTCTATTCTTAAAAAGAAAATCTTTCGAAATGGTTATGCCTCAAACATTAATGAGTAGCAACTACATAACCAGAGACTTGCTTAATGCTTACCCAGGTTCATGTTTGATTGACTTTTGCTGTAGTTCTAATTACTGCTAGTAATGTTTTGTTAGACAAATTGTATCATGTTTCATCATAAGCTATCATCTGCTTCTGTAATTAAACTGTTTTGATGATAATTTTCTCCTTGGATCCAGATTAAATATTCCTGGCTTCATTTAATTAGTTTGAATTTTAACTATGTTGCTTCTATTGGAAATAAGAAACTGGAAAATAGATTACTAAGGCCTGTGTAGGCTAATAATTTTTATTTGTCAAGTTAAATTGAAGCTATATTAATTTGTAAAAATATGCTGGTGAATAGTAATCTTGTTTCCTTTAGTTCTCTGTTTCACATTTTTATGTCTTTTAATTAACTTTTCAAAACTTAAAAGTTCAGCCTTAATTGGATATCAGGGTTACATATTCTATAGGTGTTATGGCAAACTCTTTTTTCCTTAAATTTTCCCAGGCTAATACTTTATTTTCTGATCATATCAATATGCCATTTCCCATGTCTCTGCACTTGTGGAAATTAGAATTCAATAATTTCTTGCATATATAATTTTTTTCTGCTTTAATGTGTGTATGTGCATGCACAGACGCGATTAACAAATTCTACATTTGCCTTGAATGAACAATGAAACAAATCCACCTCTCCTTAGGTTTCATGTGTCAATATGGATCTAATTTGTTATATTAGAAATTTCTTGGTAGTAAAGTATTATGATTGATGTGCTAATTTGTTTTACAGGGTACAGAAGATGATGTTGTCAATTGGTTACATGGTAACAGACTTTGGAAAATGGCAAGGGAGTCCTATGACCCCTTGTGGATCAAAGGAGGTGGTCATTGTAACTTGGAGCTCTACCCTGATTACATCCGCCATCTCTGCAAATTCATCCAAGAAATGGAGAGCATGACGACTGCGAAGCGCCTCAAAAAGATTCGGCAAAGTGCGAAGCCATCAAAGTCAAACCCATGTTCCACCTGTAGATGCTGTAGAGTGAAGTGTTGTAAACTCAAGTGTCCTGAATGCTACAACTACTGCTGCTGCATGAATTATTCAATATCTATCAATTGTCCTAAATGCTGTTGGAGGCCTAGCTGCATAAAGTGTTGCTGCTTCCCCAAGTTACCTAGTTGTTTTGGATCAACATGCTGCACAAAATGGTCATGGCCAAAATGTAGTCTAAAATGTTCATTGCCAAAGTGTGCAAGACCAAGTTGCTGCTGCATGAGTTGTTTATGTTGGCAATGTTGTGTGGGAAAACACAGTGATGGCACAAATGGAAAATAGAATGGCTAAGGGTCATAACATGCTTGTATAGAAGAATGGCAAGTCTTGCTAACACACCATTCAATATTGTGATGCAGTGGTGTACAAAAAGAGGAAGTAGTGGATGACAATTGTAGGAAAGTGATATGATCCAGTGTCCTCTATTATTTTTGGTTTATTTGGAGTTCTATTGGAATTTTTTACTCATAAAACATTGGTGTTTTAATTAATTTTCGAGGCAGTTGATGAATGACATATTGTATCTTGTTCTGTAGCCTTTTAATGCTTTGCAGTGTCTAGTAATGGAACTAGGATTTTCAGTAGTGATGTCACCTTGCCATGCGTATCAAGCAGTGACAAGAAGTTTTGGAGTTCACGAAGGAATTGGGTAATCTCATGAGAACTCTTGAATTGAAATGAAAAAATAGATGGAACTCCAGTTACTTTAGGAATGTGAAGATCTTTGGCGCACGAACTTAAGAAGGATTGATCCGTATCATTTTGACTTGGTTCTGATTTTTTTTTTTTTTTTAAGAAAATAGAGTTGGGTTTTTTCCTACCCGTATTGAATAAAACATGTTGAGCCAAATTTTCTTTATAGAAAATTTGTTTTATTTAGATCGAGAAAATCTTGTGATTTTATGAAATCATGTATTATTGCTCGAATCCGTGGTCAATCCTATTTTCGACAAGAGGAGATGACAATGGAATCCAATTTTTTTTTTTTTATAATTTTCGTATCCGTAATAACTACGAGCGTTTTTTTAATTTGTGGGAATCATGTTTGTAATAAAATTTTCAAATTTCTAATCGATTAGACACGTGTTTCGATGAGCAGTGCTATATACTTCGAAAAAATCTGCTGATATTTTTTCCGAATGCTCAAGAGGTTAACACTTGTCAACCAAGGTTAACACTTATCAACTAACATGTTTGGCTTTTCACAAATTTAATAAGTTGGATGGTGTTTTGGACGATCAAATTCGGAGGATAAATCATTTTCCTGTTTGGATGTGTTTTAAAGCTGATTTTGAATGAGTGATTGAATAATTACTTGTTCCGATTTGGACAACATTCAATGATTAGTTTAGCTACTCAATGGAAAAACATTCAAAAGTGTATTATGCATTTTTTTATTTTAGGATTATAATTTTTATATTTAACAATTATCAACTTATGAGTTTTAAGAATTTTGTGAATAATTATTTATTATTTATGTACTATATCTTAACGTGTGATTTAGATTATTGAAAATAAGATCTTATATTAGATTTGAATGTCGAAACAAGGCCAAATGTTATTAAATATGATTGGTTAATCATAGTATCAATAATCAAATTAATTCTAAATGACCATAGAAATGACTTGGTATAATGATACATATATGGGTTGGACCAATATTAATTAGGTCTTTACATATTTCTATATTGAATAATTTCAAATATAGTACGGGGATTAAGTTGAATAATATTTGGGAGGGTATACTTGCTCACTAGCCCCTAATCTAAAATGCCTAAAGACTAGATTAGATAATATCCAAGATGATACATTACTAAAATTAGAAATGGCCACTCAAAATTATAGTGAAAAATTGAAAAAGTAGTAGTTATTTGTCATTTTGGATTTTAATGTGGAATTGAAATTGGTTTTGCAAAAGTTGGATTTAAAGCATTTTTTATTTTTTTTTCATTAGTGATCCATGTTAATCTATAAAGTTATTTCAAAAAGAAGAAATTGCTTGAGAGGCAAGCTTAATTACTTTTCAAACCACATTAAAAGGAGGAAATTAATAGAGAAATAAACTTAATTTACTTCTTATTAATCTACATTAAAATGTGATTGATGAATTAGTAATATGCACTTAATTTAAATATCTTTGAATATGATTTTATATAATTAATTTTAAGTAAATTATAGTTTTTAACATGAATTTTGTTTGCGTAACATTAAAAAAATCATTTAAACGTATAATGTTTCAAGACTTACAAGGAAAGTTAATTTTGAGTGGATAATTATTAAAATAGTTCAATCAAAGCCATACAAGACAATATTAGCTACTTATTAAGGGCATACTTGCAACAAATGATATGACTAAATAATGGTGATGCAGAGGTTACTTAATTTTAATTGCTTTAATGTGACTTGAGTTTACAACGTTGGTCTTTGGATTAACTTTCAACTTTACTAAAATCAATTATAAAATTATGGTGAAGGTTAAAACAATACATAATTACTTCAACTTTTTCAATTTTTCATTATGATTTTTCGGGTTAGAACTCATCTAACTGGTATCCTAACGCACTAAACTTGAAATAATGTTTAACCACATCCAAACATCATCCTCAAAGAAAAAATCAACTTTGCCCATCCTAAACTCCAAACACAGCATGAGTATTGCGTTTTAAAAAAAAAAAAAACCTTTTATAACACTTCCACATTTACAGTTAGTAGTAACATTCGGAAACATTTGTTGGTTCTTTTCATCATCACAACCATTACATTTTAAAATAACAATTACCTAGGAGTTGTTTACTATTTTCAAAAAAATTTCTATTTACTAAAATTTATGTCCTTATATCATGTTTGGAAGTGTTTGTCTCTAGTGTTTTTGAAAGTGTTTGTCTTCAGCATTTTTGAAAGTGTTTGTTCCCACAACATTTATTTTAAAGTATTTGTTCCACTAATATATATATATATTTTTTTATAAATTTTGTTTCTTCGGCACTTGAAGATGATGTAGAAAATGAGAAAACATCCCGAAACAGTTTTTTGCATGTTTGTTTTAGAAACAAATTTTAAAATTTAATAGAATTTAGATAAAAAATTGATTATTAAATAGTGTAGAATTAACATAAAAAAAATGAGAAGTGAATAGAATCCTATGAGTTTCACTTTTCTGTTTTTGTATTAGAAGTGAAAAAGAGAACATTAGTTGTATAAATGAGATTTTATAGCACAACGATGAACATAAGTCAATTGGTAATGGTTCTTTAAGTTTATCTCTTAGTCTTGAATTTGAGTTTGTTCTATTTGACTTGGAGGAACAATTTATTTGATAAGATCAATTTGAATTTATACCCATTTTACCAAAGCTGGTATGCATTATTAAAAAAAATTATATTACATTAGTAGTATTAGCTTGATTTTAAGAAGAAAAAATTGACAAATATCTAACTAATATAATATAAGAATATTTGGAAAAAATAATTAAAAATAAGCATACTAAGAAATATTTTGCATAAGAAATTTTGGATGGGAGAATTTCAATTATAGAAGAAAGCTTTGAGACAAATTTGAACAATTTGATACAAGAAAGTAACTAGGTTACTCATAAGGATACAAGAAAGTAATTGTAGCACTAAGAAAGAAGTTGTTATACCACTCTCATTCTAAAATTCTAATTGAACAAAATAGACATTAGGATGCAACAATATATTATTTGACCCATCAAAGTTAATATTTAATGTATCATATTGAGTAATCAGGAGAATAAATTTGAACTATTTTTTTTACACTCTATTTGAAACAAAAGAATTATGTGTATAAGGAGAAAGGTGAGGGGATCACTAATGTTTAGTGTTTGATATAATAGAAGAGATAAGAAATGAGTGGTTTCCACATAATGTCCACTAAAGAGGGTAGATTGAAAGGGAAGTATAAAGATGTTACATTTGTACCCTTCACACATGTGAATGTACAATCTCATCTTAACCAAATTTTAACTTTCAATGACTTTGTAATATCATTATGAATAACCATAATTAATTATGTAAAGTAAATATTCAGTTATAAAGGGGCTTGAGTTGTCCATATAATGAATTACATGTACTTTTAATACATTTTTTATTTTTTTGAAAATTTATATTATTGGAAAAAATCAAAATCTTACATCGAACTAGAGATAAGGTAGTTAAAGAGTATATAAGTGGAGAACAATCTTTACCTTACAAGTTAATTTTGTAGGGTTAAGTTAGGCTCAAATCTACTATTTTATAATGTTATCAGAGCTATCGTAAATCATTAAAGAGGGCTACCCACCATTTATTTATGTACCAAACCTAATAGTGCTGGATGTGAGGGGTGTATCGGAAAAAATCCAAGTCCCACATTGAATTAAAGACAAGGTAATTAAAGAGTATATAAGTAGAAAATAATCCTTACCTTACAAGCCAATTTTGTAGGATTGAGTTAGACTCAAACCTACTATTCTAAGACATATAATTGATTATAATCACCACAATCAATTATATGAGCTTATTAAATTAAAAAATATTTGAATCAGAAACTTAATTATAAAAAGACATAATTGTAAATTAATTAATAACATCATTTAAATTTTTTAAATCCAATATAAACCAATAAAAAAAATCAATCTTCCCTTCTATTATTTTCTACTTCTCTTTTATCAAACATCCACAACTTCTACCTTATTTCTCATTTTTATTCTCACTTTTTTTTTTCTCACTTATACCTTCTAGTTCCTTCTACTTTCATCTCACCATCAAACAATGTTAAGTAAAGTTACATGAGTAAATTGTGACGAATCTTCAAGAGATTCGTTTGTTTATACATATAAAAATTATCTGCCATAGAGAGATTGTGGAACTGTGTTGCCTTCCTAGTTTCTTCACCTAAAATTAACTACTATTTCTTCGGATCCATAGAAATGGGCTTGTGCATGAACAAAAGGCATGCTTGGAAATTAGGATAAACATCTAAACTGGGCTGGATAGTTATGAGCCAACTCTGCCCCATTCTCCCTGGAATACGGGCTATCAAGGCATTTATTGGGTCAGGCTGGTAATATAAGAAAGCAATGAGGAAAAAGAATACGTTCCCTCGCAAGTTAAAAAATGTTTTAGAAAAATTAATAAGAGAAGACTTATACAAATTAATTTTCGTATAAGTTAATTTAACTTTTGATGCAGTTTTTTTTTTTTTTTCATTTTTTGTCCTTGTTTTCTCTTCTTCTATAAATGTTTGTGAAAAAATTTATCCAAACAAATCCTATATATTCATAAATGCAGTTTGGTGATAGGGAAAACTCTCTTCGAAAAAAATTGCATCAAGGTTGTGTTGTTATTGGTTTTGCCGTACAAAATCTTATCCAAACATGATAAGTGAAAAAAGGAAGACATCATATGTATGAAGTTCAAGTTCCATCTTTTTTCTCACTATTAAAATGGCAATGCATAACATGCATAAATGACAATGAAATTCCACAGTGTCCACATTAACGTGATTGTTTTTCATTTTGTGATTTGCAAAATGTTA